GCGGTGGTCTTGTTCTTCAAGAAAGGTGACAACGCTCTCTTGAAGAACTACAGACCGATTTCCCTTCTGAGCCGCGTCTACGTGCTGGTTTCGAGTCATTACGAATCGTCTCGCGCGCAAACTTGTCGACTTCCAGCCTCCCGAACAAGCTGCTTTCCGAAAAGGCTTTAGCACCACAGACCACATACATACCCTTCGGCAAATTGTACTATGTCTGGCGTATGTGGACAGTAAGAAAGCCTTTGATTCCGTCGAAATTTGGGCGGTGCTGCAGTCCCTTCTGCGGTGCCAAGTTGATTGTCGGTATATCGAAGTGCTGAAGTGCTTGTACAGTAGGGCTACGAACTACGATGGCTATCCGAGTACAGAACCAGAATACGAAACCTATCCAATTGCAGAGAGGTGTAAGACAGGGTGACGTTATATCCCCGAAACTCTTCACCGCTGCATTGGAAGACGTTTTGTAGCTTCTGGACTGGAAAGGATACGGTATTAACATCAATGGTGAGTACATCACTCATCTTCGATTTGCCGACGATATAGTCCTTATGGCAGAATCGCTGGAGGACCTAAGCACTATGCTCAATGACCTCAAAATAGTGTCTCCCTACGGATTGGTCATAAGATGAACATGGACAAAACAAAGATCATGTTTAAATGTTGCACCTATGCCGGTAGTTGTTGGAAGCACTAAGCTCGAAGTTGTTGACGAGTATGTGTACCTGGGACTAATACTCCAACTAGGTAAGTCTAACTTCGACCGAGAGGTCAATCGACTCAAAACTTAAAAACGAGGCTTTAAAACCAGTACGTGTTGCCAGTGATGACTTATGGAACACAGACGTGGTCCTTCACTGCTGGCCGGATGAGGAAGCTCAAGGTCACTCAGCGAGCTATGGAGAGGGCTATGCTTGGAGTTTCTCTGCGTGATAAACTTAGAAATGAGGATATCCGCAGTAGAACCAGAGTGACCGACATAGCCCAACGGATTAGTAAGCTGAAGTGGCAATGGGCCGGCCATATAGCTCGAAGAACCGACAACCGTTGGGGAAAAAAGATTCTCGAGTGGCGGCATCGTACCGGCGGACGAAGTGTAGGGCGTCCCCCCACTAGATGGAGTGACGACCTGGTAAGACATGCAGGAAGTCGATGGATGCGCGTGGCTCAGGACCGTGCTTTGTGGCGTTCCTTGGGAAAGGCCTATGTTCAGCAGTGGACTTGTGAAGGGCTGTAATAATGATGATGATGATGTTGTTTATTTTTTATTTATAGGCGATAAGAACCTAATATTCCATAATTTAAAGTTTCGTTCATGAAAATGTCTGAGTTGTTAGAAGTTAATTTTTGTTGTCGTAAAGTTATAATATTTAAGTTACTACTAATTTTTTTTTCTTGTTTATAATAATATCCAAATAAGCACTTTAGACAACCAAGACATTAAAAACACTTGAAGTAAGTATATTTTTTTGTAAATCTTCTTTCATCTTTCATTTGTAATAAAAAGCTACTTATTTATATTATTTTACTTTTATTATTTGCTCCTATTGTCCTCTCGATTTACCAAAATGTAACTAAGCAAAAACAATTATCAGGCCGTATTTACATTAAAAAATAAAGTGAATTTATCAGATGAAATCAAAATAAAAAATAACATTATGAGAAGTTTTTTTCGCTTTTTTTTTATACGATAAGGGTGACAAACGAGCACACAGTCCACCTGATGGTAAGCGGTTGCTGCGGCCCATAGACATCTACATCTATCCTCTGTTACAAATCAAAATGTAGATGCGTTGTCACCCGTGAGGACTAAGATGGAATGCCTCATTTCCAGTAAAAAGGGCCTCCGGCCACCTGCACTCACCAAGCGAAACGCAGAGGTAAGCCTCTACTTCACGCTGGTTTTCTATGAGGTCGTGGTACTACCCCGGTTCGACCCGGCCTATCCGTGCGACAGCAAAAGCTGCCGCGTAGCTCTACCACTATAAAAAAACTTTTACTTCCTGTAAAACTTTTATATTTAAGACTAGCTGTGCCCGCGGCGTAGCTCGCGTATATTGATTTTACATAAAGAATTTGTCGTTTAGGTAAGAGAATATTAAACGATTTATATCATTACTGTATCAATAAGTGGTAACTAAATAAATCATTATCATCAAAGTTCTAAGTAGTATATGATAGAGCTTCGGTGTAAACGACGTTAGAAGTAGACTTAGACGGGGTGTACACAAAAAGGTTACGGGGGCTACTAACGCGGGAAAAAGCAACATAGAGTTGGCCATGTGCAAAACAGTCAGTACTGAGGTCCACTCTTACAACGCGTAAATTTTGACCTTGCGCTATATTTACGGTCATCGCATAACACACACTGACTGTAACTGGGAACTGAACGCGCTTAAAACTGAAAGGAAAGTTACTTCTTAATAGAGGGTTTTTTGGCAGTGCTGCCAGATCAAAAAAACTCATTCAGCGCTAGGACAACACAAAAAGCGCTAGATTTCATGAAAACAGCGCTTTAAAAAAGCCCTAGATTTCGCGCTAAATTAACTACAAACAAAGTTTGTGTTTTTTATTATAATTTATAATTCAAGAAAATATAATCATAATAAAGAAAACAACATTAAGTTTTTTTCTGGCAATATTTTTTGATGTATCAATACTTCGCAGGACATCGACTTATAATTATGGCAATTGCTGTCAACAGTAGTTAGTATTACTCTAAGTAACTTTTAACTTAGCTGTGCTCTAAACAACTGACTAAAACTGAATAAAACAAAATAAATGCGTTGCCAAAACCATGAACGAAAACTTTAATGAAGGGGATTTCCCCGCTTATAGTCGTCGATAAAAAAAATCAAGTTGATCATCCTAAAGGGGAAGCCGGGAGATCCATAGCACAGGGTATCCTAGTTTGGACTCGTTTCCCATGGTCTTTGTTTTGTGGAAAAAATATGTTTGAAAAAGATAAACTGCAATGCACTATTTGTGGAAAAAAATAATAAAGGTCATTATTATTATTATCGGTAATGTGGACTAACAGTGCTGCTATAAAAGAGTTGATAACCCGCTAGTCGCTACAATTTTGAAATGTGTGCTAAATACACCAAAAAGCGCTGGATTAAGTGCTAGGTGCTAAAATTTCGAAATGCACGCTATACTTACATTCCAAAAAAGCGCTAAATCTAGTTCCCAAAGCGCTAAAATGGCAGTACTGATTTTGCGTATATTATAAATACAATATCACGACATTTCGTTGCAATTTTGTTATTTTTGTTCGGGTTCCGTTGTATGGCTTCGATAGATACAAATTTCTTCAGTAAGTCTCAATACGATTCATCGGAGAAAAATCTCAACACAGCATATCAGAAAAGTTTGTAATTTGTACAACTCCATCTATTACGTCCTTTGTGTGAGAAAACATCCTTTTTTAAATCTCTTTTTATGTTTTAAGTATAAATATGTTAATTATTATGGAACGTTTTTTTTACACACAAATCTTTTTATTACTATTTCTGAGATTTTTATGGCGCCATTGAACAAATTAGAACCTACATTTTAAAATAATAATCATTACTTTCGATAGAATTAACCAATTTTAATAAAACAAAGATTAAATGTAACTTGAAGATACGCTTTATGATTTTCTTAACGATTTCTTTGAAAAAAAAAAGATGTTTACTTTAGACGTGATGCCTTCATATAAAAACAGACAAACAGACAGACAGATAATTCTAAAAATTATAAAAATGTACTCATTTAATTATTTTTAGTTCCCCATAATGATTTTAGTCACCAAAATATATATACAATGTACAGAAAGAGACACAACATGTTATCATCATTTTTATTATATGTATATATTTAATTAAAGAGAGATGGCGCTGCTAACATCAACTTGATGACTCAAACATAGCCACCGTTGAGCAAATTCCCTACCCATACTTCAGAATATTTATCATAACTTTTGATGGAATGAACCGATTTTAATGAAATAAAGACTAAATGTAACCCGAAGGTACACTTTAGAATTTCCTTAACAATTCTTATAAATTAGTACTTTAAACGTGATACGTTAACAAACAAACAGACAGACAGACAGAAAGACAGACAGACAGAAAATTCTAAAAATGGTAGAAATGTATTTAATTACTTATTTTTAGTACCCCTCAATCACTTTTATTACAAAATTATAAAATGTACAGACATCTGCTATTTACAGTTTTATTATATGTATAGATATGACATATTGGCACGACGTCGTCAATATTGATTTTTAATAGAGGATAAATGTAGATGTCTATTGGCTACAGGATCCCTATACTGATGGTAGACTGTTTTTTTTTTATAGGATAAGGGTAAACACGGCAGCATAAAGCTGCTATTTTACGCTGGTATTGTGAGAGCGCGGTCCTGCCCCGGTCGAGCCGACCCATTCGTGCTACAACCATAATATAGCTGCAGCATGGCTCTACCACGTATAAGACACTCACTCTTTAGGACGAGCATGTCCTAAAGAGTGACATGCTCGTTTGTCACTCTTATTCTATAAAAACTCGCCGCCTCATAAAATGGTTTGGTATCCCACCCTACCTATTTCAGTCGCCTCATAGCAATGCTTGCACTACTGTTTCAGTCTGAAGGGTACTATAGCAAACCAGTGTAATTACAGGTTGGGAGGGGATTCTATCCCAGTCCTCAGCTGCAGTCTTCTTTGAAGTTGGGTGCAGGAGTGTAGTTGTTTAATCTTTTCAGTTTAAAAAAATTATTGCCTCATAATTGAGGTAGTTGCAATTCTTTGCAAGTGGTTTGCACACAGTTCTTTATTATTATGAGTCGTTATCAGGAAGACGTTACTGCACATCTCCTGTTTTAATTACCTCTCTTGCCTCTTACGATATCCACAGGATGATATGAACTACTACACGACGAAAGTCACAGGGTAGTAATTAAAACAAAAACTTGCATTACATAAGTAATGATTTTTTTTAATGTAAATGTACACCTTAGAACCTAAGCTTCTGGAAGAACCATTTGTTCTTGCCACTCTTGTATCTCTCCTCAAATCGGACGCGTGTGTTGAAACGGAGCTTCTTGCGCTTTGCCGGGTCCTTCAGGTCCTTGGCGCTGAACTTTTCAAAGCTGAAGTCTACTGAATACCGGGTTGGCATTAGGTGATTGTAGTTTACAACCTAAAAAAGATGGAAGAATATTTTATTTACCCCTTGATTAATCAAGTAGACAAATGTTACAAGTTGTTCAAAATCATAATCTGTAGCAATCTATTTAGGGCCAGATTGCTACAGAATATAGTTCTGAACAACTGGTGGAAAACGCCCCAGACTCAATTGCCTCTAACAGATGGCAATATAACCTAACACCAGATGTAAAGTGCCCAATTAATGGTTAGGACATCTTATAATATGTCCAATATCTGATCCAATATCTGCTTGCCACACATGGCAATAATAGGAAACCTTGCCTTAAATGGAAAAAATTCAGGTGCAGCTAAAGAAATGTATGTTCATGGTGGTTAGACCATATTTAACCATGTCACTTTCCCCAGAGGTTCAATCTGTATGTCCATTTATTTGTCATATTTTAATAGAACAGATTGTAACTTCAGATATAAAATTGTAAAACATGTTTTAATATTAGTGTTAAACTAACTTGAGGTATTGTGTGTTTAAATTTTTTTATACTTTATAGGCACCAAACTCGATTCGTTCCAGTTTAACAGATTCGTTGCGGCACCAATTTTCGACAACTTTTATTTCACGCCACAGACTTTGATGACACGCCTATTGTGGTGCCATCAGCCATGTGTAAAAGTAATGTTCTTATTTATGGTTTTTTTACTTGTTTAGACCTAATTAAATTTATTTGACATCAAACATCAGTTACAAACGGCAGGATACTTGTTTTTAGTGGGTAACTACGTGTTTCTCTACGTGTTTTCTTTGAAATTGAGAGGTAAGTGACTTTTTTTATGCAGAGATTACAAACCTTTTGTACAATTTTTTTGTTTTATAAAAAAAATCATTTATATAAGTAGGTACAGCTAAATCACCCTGGAAAACCTTGGTCCTTATTAAATTAAATTTTCGCCTAATAATAACATTTGTAAATATGAAACAATCAAGATCCTCAATTTGGAAAAAAATAAGGTTCATGATTCATTGATATTTACAAATGTTAAATATTATTTAATTTTATACAAATGTAAAAGTAAAGTCGATCTGAAAACTTCCTAACGAACTTTTTTTATGCATGAACGGTTTCGAATTGTTTCAAGCAAAAATAAACCTTACACCATATCACAAGAGCACATGGTAATTCGTAGATCTATTCAGCCATATGATAGTAATAAGACGGCAGTTCAACCATTTTAAGCAAAATTAAACAATAAGAAGAATAATTTCATTATGTCATTATCAGACGAATTTTTATTTATAAATGTTACTAATTAATGATGCATTTATTAATTTTATATTTTGTATGCCTACTGGCGGGACATAGAGAACCTACCTAATATTTATTATGTACATCGAGATCTGTAAACTAACCTATGTTCACAAAATAAACAGATTTGATTGATTTGATTTGATTTAAATAAGACAAAGTCATTGTTTTTTTTAACAGGAGACTTGTTTTCCAGAAATTTATTTACAACTTGAGTTTGTGAGCGATCACAATGAGTGCTATTATTTGTTACTTATTAGACAATTTTTCCATAACATGATTTAAAACCCACAAAGTAAAAATAGTAAGGTTGTCAACCCCTAAAAATTTCAAATATTCAAAATATCCAGAAACGAAGCTGCATGCATGAACTACTACTCGCAAAATAATGAATATTTTGTTGTGGATACATTTTCCAAAAAAGCAATTTGAGCGAGTTATAAAGATTTAAAAAAAGACACGACTCGCGTGTCATACGCCACACACAAAAGTAATCGATGGCACGCCTGGCGTGTCACCCGCACTGAACCGGTTAACATTGTGCTATGTTTATAAATAATAAGTGAGTAGTGCACTTTTTTTATTATTTTCTCTTTTTATAATGTTTAATAATTTAAATAATGATGTCTTATTTGTTATTTCGAGAAGGCTTATTTTTTTTTCTTTTTTAGGCTTATACGGATATACTTATTTAAATACTTAAATTTTTGAGCTCAGTAAATTTCTCTGTTGGGATTACATAAATTAAGTCTAAAAAATATGCAGATGCCACTTCAATATATCTTACACACATGCGAGATGCCACAAATAGTTGTTATAGTGAATAGTTGAATACTGATTATCTCCATTACCAATGGCTAATAGTCAAATAACTCACCATTATTATTTGAAATAAAAAAGGAATATAAGAAATAATTTATTTCTTATCAGATAATAATATCCTCCTTGCACATCTTGAACTTAGCAGTCACTTATTTGTTATTGTAATTTAAAATTATTCTAAGGTTATGAGGAAAGAAAACAATGAAGTTAAAGAAATCAGTCTCATATTATACTGATTTTACATGATTATTGCTGGGGAAGTCTTTTCTTGTACCCATTTTACAGGGAATACCTTCTTTTGTATAACCCAGCATTTAATACTGTATATTTCCTGCTCAATGATTTTGCTTGTTTAACTTGGGCCCCATGCATTTTATAAATATTTATATTAATATAATATAAACATTTATAAAATGTAATAGAACTAACTAATATAACTTTTTATATTAATGATAATAATTAATACAGTGCTTTTTGCTTTAAAAAAAATTTAAGTTTGATTATTTTTTTTATTAATTAAAAATTTATTTTAGACAATTATTCACCGAATGTCGAATAATACTATCTATTATTTCATATTCAATTAATAACAAAAAAATGATGAACAATACCAAGTACCAAATAATAGCAAGCATTCACAGCATCTCTAACAAGAACCCCTACAAAATGAATAGTATTAGTAAGCTGGCAGATTTTTTTTAAAGCACTATTAAACAATTTTTGGGTATTTCATACATGTTAGAATATGTACACCAAAATACTAAGCATCAGATTCCAATAACTATGAACTTGTGCCAGAATAGCTTTTTCTGTTAATCTGCCACTATATTAACTATACCCACTGTGAATAGCGGCTTTCACACAGAGTCTACAGCACAATAAAAGCTTATAATTTTTTACTTATAAAAGTGCTTTTTGGTTGGCTTGCACATCAATTCCCTGGCAAATGTGCCTGAGTAGGTCATAAAGGTTGTTTACCACAATGGGCACATTTATAACTGCTGTAATTGCTATTTCAGGTTTTATAGTAGCTAGGCTAGCTATATTGTGACAAGACAATATGATATAAGAATAGGAAGAGCTATATTAATGCTTGTGATTTATTCTTCTCTCACTAGTTTTGACAGTTTGAAGCATAGTTGGTAGTAGCCTGCCTGCAAAGTGAAGAGTCCCACGTTAGATCTCAATCATGGAGATTGAGATCACAGTTTCATACACACTTTTGATGGGTAGAAGCTGATTTTAGACTGCATATCCAACTGAATTGACAACACTAGCATTCTTTACTGAATATGAACATACACAAGAAAGTGCTGTTTCTGCTTATTGCTTTTACAAATATACTTTGCTCATTGGAGTGCAGCGCGATGTTTGCTTTACTCTGAAGCCTACATGAAGAGGCTGCTATTAGTTGATAACTTGTGGCAGAATATCATTATTTCTGTACTTACCACCCAAGGCATGCAATTCCTTTTTATTTAACAACCAGTGATGGCAGACTAGAACCTGTCATGTTTTATTTGGCTAACACCATACTTTTCGCATTTATGCAGTTTATGCTGACAATGGTCGCTTCTCACTTCTACGGAATAACATTAATGCGGAAATTTAAACTAATAAAATACGTACAAGAAACATTTTGCCATTTCAACATTTGTTATAACATTTTTTATAATTTTTTTTAATATTTCAAAAAATTGTACCTCAATAAATATGGATTTCCGCATTTTAATATTTTGGTATTTGATAAATCTTACTAACCCCTTCTGCCATAATAATATGAACTACTACTTCACTAGCACTGGAGTCTTGAGTCAATAACAGATATGTCATTGACTCAATACTCTTAAGAAGTTAGATTCCCTCCGTTGTGTACTTAATTTTTGGATTTCACGTAATGTTGATATCATTTTTCAAATATTTCAACAAAGTTTAAATTGCAATATCAACCACCTAAATTTATATTTATATTCTATTATTTTGACAATGAGCTTACCTTGACGAAAGGCTTTATCTTGGAGCGTTTGTGTATTTTGTTTTTGCCCATCCTCTTGTGAACTTTGCGTGGATATCTGTCAATGCCGGCAACGAAAGCGTGACCGTAAGGCTTTTCGGCAGTACCCTCATCGTAGTTCTTCACCACGATAGCTTTCCGGCCTGCATATCGGCCACTAAGGACCAGCACGACCTTCCCTGGCTTCATAATCTTACCCATCTTGGATGGATCTGAAAGACACGAGAACTAACCTTCAAATAACACCAATAAATACAAACTACTGCCACTGTTTCCATAAAATATTCACTATTACTAAGAATTATATTCTAAAGTTTAATCCATATAATAGAATAAACATGAACATTACTGTTACTAAAACACAATTTTCACTATGATATTTACTATTATATTTAACTAGAATTCGACAAAATCAAACTCAAATGGTATTTATAAATTTATAAATATTCCTGTGACACAAATTATAAAAGTAAATAATACTTCTTCGTAGAGATTTCTCAAGATTTAATTTAGAAAATTCATGAAACTCACATTCCCATAGACCTGTCGACAAAAAAAGACAGTTAAAATCTTATAGTTCACAGATAACAAAAATGTAGAGAAATTAAATACTTTATAGTTTATGGTAAAGAATGTCAAACAAGTGTTTTCAGTGTATCAGGTATAGTCTGTGGTATAGACCGGCGACGGATTGCTGATCCTGAATTATTGTTTAAATAATGGTTTGAAGTGTATTCTAATATATACAAGTGGTGCGATTTTGTGTATTAAATGAATGCGCATGTGAACTATTAGTGGAAACAGTGAAACAAGTGCTCACATGGACGAAGATCCCGAATGAAATGGTATGGTCTACAAATAATTGTTAGGGTCTGGATGTTTGTCCTTGTGTAATTTATGTTTGTAAACTGCCTCCACGACACAGGAGAAAATCCTAGTGTGGGAGTGACGTTTTTATCAAATATATATATTTAATAAAATAATAATATATTTAAAATTTGAAGTTATATTTAATAAATATATTAATTTTAATAAAATTAATTTAAGATATCAAATTTTGTAATTTAATGTTCTTTCTAATTTTATTAATATGACATTAGTATATATATTTAGAAATTTATAACTTTTTATAGTTCAGCCGTTCAGAGAATGCGTTCCTGACACCTATCAGTTAGTCACGACTAGTGATGGGCACAACATAACATTTGAGTTCGTTACCGTTCCTCCAAAATGAACCGCCGCGTTATTTTTAAGATTATTTTCGTTTTATATTGGCGGAATCATTTAAAATTTATATTTTAGTAATTTAAGTGGAAAGCAAAAAAAGGTAATATTAATATAATAAAATTGTTTTATTTATTCTTTGTTACAAAGTTACAATCTGTATTTCTATGCAATAAAGTACATTGAATTGAATGTGCGTACAGAATATTAATCAGACTCCGATTCGCTTGAGAAGGTGGTGTCTTCATCATCATCTTTGCCTACATGTATAATTATATTATTATCAATAACAGAATCAATCCTGATATCTCGGTCAAAATGTTCCACAATCAGGTTTTTAGTCTTCTCAACAACCTTTGCCCAGTCATCTCTTGTGACTTCCCCGCAGGCTTCTTTTAATAGGGTCATCATCTTTTTCGTGCTGAATGGCGGGGAAGTATTGTGGCGGGCGGCGTAACCTTTTATTTGAGCCCAGATTAGCTCAATCGCGTTATATTGGCAATGATACGGTGGAATTCTTAGAACGCGATGACCGTACTCCAGAGCCAGTTCATCGATTTCGTATAGCACATTTGCCGATTTATTTTCTTTAACTAATTTAATTAGCTCTGGTTTTAGCATCTGCATATTTGCGTCAATGCCTTTTGCTTGTAACCAAGCCACCATTTCTTCTTTTTTATTAGCTTGGGTAGGTGGTTTCTGTATTTGAACCGAGTGATAGGAGGCATTATCCATGAATATTACAGAAGGCTCTGGTAGGCTGGGCAAAAGCACGTTCTGGAACCACTCTTTAAATGTAGTGGCATTCATTTCCTCGTGGTAGTCATTTGTGGTTTTTGATTGAAATGCCAGTAACGCGTTCTCCACAAAGCCGTATTTTGCAGAACCTGCGTGGCATATTATCAGACGGGCCCCTTTAGTATTTTCGACGTCGACGCTTGTGTATCATCCATCCAAGAACGGGAAACCGTGTGATTGGCGTTTAACCATGTCTCGTCAATGAACACGACATTATCCCAGTTATCAATATCTTTTGCTTCTCCCAAAAAACTTATCCGTTTTAAAATTATGTCGTATCGTTCTTATAAAATTTTTCTATTGTCTGTTTTTTTATACGAAAAACCAATATCTTTTAAGATTTTGGTTAAAGCAGTTTTACCCCCGCTAAACAGTCCAGCTTCTCTTAACGATGCCAAAAGCTTCTTCCTGTTGAGATATTCATTTCTGGAATAGTAACCATATATATGATTTCTGATTGCATCGGCGTCAAAGGTCAATATCTGTCACGGGTTTAGTTCTACGTTTCTTCTTCGGAGTACGTAAAATATTATCTTCCGTGCCAGTAGAGCCGAACTTTTCTTTATTAATATTTGTTGTCGTTCGTTTGCTAACTCCAAGCGCCTGAGAGACGCGTTCTTGTACTTGTTCGACAGGTAACAGGGGTCCGCCATTTTGCCGCTCCCGCTCAAAGTAATCTTGCAGCTTGATGATTAACTCACGGGCTCCACTTTTCAATGTTTGTCCACGTTTAGGCTTTATTATGCACCAAAAGTAAAAAGAACGCAATACAAAACACAATCGAAATCCGATTTAGCGCCGATGTCAGTTTGAAAAGCAGAAACAGTCCATTAAACGAAAGCCGGGTAATCAAATAAAAACAGATCGAAAACACTTGAAGAACGTGGTCTATGCGCACGAAACGACAACAGACGACTGTTTTAACGTCACAAAATGGCGGCCCATAAGGCCATTTTGGGGTTACCATTTTCAACCTAAATATAAAAATGCTACTTTCTTTCGTGCGTTCGGTTTGGTCGTAGTTTTATTTTTATATTTAATAAAAGTTATCTTATAGTCCATTATTTTCAAATTCTTAAAAAGAAAAACAAAACGTATTATTTTATAAAGTATAACTGTATAAGAACAGATTTCGATACTGTTATTGCCTGTTATTGTTAGCACAGCACTACAAATATAAAGCGCTGACATAACCTTGTAATAGCGCAGTATAGATTTAGAAAAATATTGTTTATCAAGTTATTTGACACTCAGTTTGGCACAAAATTATAACATTCATTGATTATTGATATAATAATGTTGTCTTAATACTCATCAATTGTTAAAACGGTAAACAACCAGCAAATATATTTTTATCGTAACTGCAACGCCATTACAAAGTTACGTCGTCAGTTCAATCGCGACGTGTCAGGAACGCATTCTCTGAACGGCCGATCTATAGAAAAATTAAACATTCTTATAGAAGACCAAAAAGAATTCCACAAAAACAAAACCATAAATATGGCTATTTTTGATTTATAAATAGAGTGATGATGAATGTTGACAAAAAGGCATCGGTATGCGTGATCTACTGCGACATGATTCAGGCTACCGATTATGTTGACAATGACATTATGCTCAGTAAATTAAAAGCCTATGGCATCAGAGGAAACTTATTAAATATCATGGAATCCTATCTTAAAAATGGAAAGCAATATACCGAAATTTCTAGAATAAACATTAACACCAAAAAAAGAAGAAACATGCACATCAAACAAACAAATAGTCAAATATGGTGTACAACAAGGGAGTGTATTGGGTTTTGTTGTTCAATTACAAAATATCCAATATCGCTCTTTTCCGATGACAGTACGGTCAAAATAAACGCCATCAATAAGGATACATTTGAAAGTGACATTAATATGACAGTGATACAATCAATTTAATAATCAACTGGTTAAATAATAATAATTTATACAAATAAATAAAATTAAAGTGTCTGATTGCAATGTAAAAATTACAGCTTTTTACTTAATGCAGATGAAAGCATATACCGTACTAATAACAAAAATACAATTTTTAAAGTTTTTGTCCGTCTGTCTGTCTGTTTGTTGCGGCTAATCTCCGAAACAGCTGGACCAACTTTGACGGGATTTTCACTGGCAGATAGCTGATGTCACAAGAAGTATACTAGGCTACTTTTATTATTGAAAAAGAATTAGGGTTCCGCGCAAAAAAGTTAAAACCCTAAATAACACCTGGGCGAAGTCACCGGGAACTGCTAGTTTAAAAATAAATATTCAAAAAACAAAAATTATGTACTTCAGTCAACGCTTAGCAACACCAAATATTAAGGCGCAGGTTGAGCAAAATGTCGCGCTAGTCGTTATTTGTGCGGTTTTTAGAAGCTATCTACTTTTTATTTAAAAGACATATCAACAAATAAAAAACACATTATATTTCTACATAATCTTGATTCCATAAAAGCTATATCCAATTTTTTTTAAAAAGGAATAAATATTAATATAATCTCCTTACAACGAAACCACATAAATGTGAAATTATTATTGCATCTCCTCGTAAAGTAAGTATTATTTTATTTTGCGATTTACACCAATGGATAGGCAATTTATTAATGAACATTTCTATAGTAACTTTTTTTTCAAAAGACCAAAATTTGATTTTATTAAGAAATTATTTTAAAATCTGGGCGTATTCACTGCTCACGGGCTTGCTGAAGTCAGTGAGCCCTGAGCTCTTCGACGTGAAGCCCGTGTCGTTAGAGCGTCAACCAGCGCATACGCCACGTCATATCAGTCGATAATATTATTACTTATTAGGTTATTTATAGGTAGTATTATTTGTTTGTTTTGGGTATAATTTTTCGTATTAGTTATACATATATTTGATGTGTTTTTTACTGTGCGATGAAGCTTTTTGCGTGTATTTTCTTTGAAGTAAATGCAAATAAAAAAATGAAGCACTATTAGCATGTAAGGTTCGAATCCATAATTAAAATTTCGACAAATATTATAATTTACACTATAAAAGGCCAATTCAATATTTATTTTTTTTATAGGAGAGGGGCAAACGAGCATGCGGCTCACCTGATGGTAAGTGACTACCGCCGCCCATGAACAACTGCAACACCAGGGGAATTGCAGATGCGTTGCCGGCCTTTTAAAAAGGAGTGGGCTCTT